TTTTAGGGCAAATATCTAGATATGGATTTGCTGGGTTAAACGGTTTGTTCATTTCCAAGTCTGAGTCGATACTGACAAACTGCTTTATGAAGAGCCTGTGGAGATTTACTACCAGCAACAGATTGTGAGAGTGTCTGTTTCAAAACGCTCTCTTTTGTACCTGCTCTGAGGCAATCCGAGTTTCGTTTTGGAGTCTCTTTTAAAGGATGCCAGCTGTCCCAGTTCCAGCTGTGAGTGTGGGGGAAAGGGTACCAGTCTAAAAACTGGAGCAACTAGATCCTAGTCCTGCCTCTCTAATTCCCTCAAAGACCTCTGACCAGTTACTTATTCTCTCTGGGATCCAAGTTTCTCATCTGATGACAGGCCTCTGAACTAGACAAGTGCTGACACCATGATCTCAGATCTGTGATTGCCAACTGACACAGCCACGCACCATCTCGGTGGTCATTCACCACAATGTCCAAGAGCAACTCAATCAATAAGCTCTGATCAAGTCCCATTAAGAGCCAAGCTTGTGTGCCACATACCCTGTCAAATACAAGCGATAAAGCATGCTGCTGCTGCAGCTAAGTCGCTTCAGTCATGTCCGACTCAGTGCGACCCCATAGACGGCAGCCCAGCAGGCTCCCCCATCCCTGGGATTCTCCAGGCAAGAACACTGGAGTGGGTTGCCATTTCCTTCTCCAATGCGTGAAAGTGAAAAGTGAAAGTGAAGTCGCTCAGTCGTGTCCGACTCTTAGCGACCCCATGGACTGCAGCCTACCAGACTCCTCGGTCCATGGGATTTTTGAGGCAAGAGTACTGGAGTGGGGTGCCATTGCCTTCTCCGGATAAGGCATGAGCACTCACCGTTTGAGAAAGATGGTTACCAAACCTCAAGGAAGTGGTGAATCACAAACAGTGGCATGTGATCAAGTGTCACATGGGGTGGCATGGATAATAAGGGTCGGGAGATTGACATCAGGCACTTAGTGTCAACAAAATATTCTTTGAAAGGTGCCGTTTACCTAAGATACAAAGAGAAGTAGAAATCTAGCTGGCAGCGGTGGTAGAAAGGAAGCTGGGGCACAAGGTGGTGTGAAAGTCCCCTGCCCCCCGACATAAAGAAACCTCGTGCTGGAGCACAGGAAAACTCCCACACCAAAGGCAGCTGCGCCTTATCTGTTGTTTGCACAGTTGCTGAAAAACAAGAGTGAACTCCTTGTCCCCACCACCAATATGTCTTCATAGTATCTCCTGTCTCAGGTGGAGCAGCTCTACTCTTTCAGTTTGGTAAAACCTTCAGGTTGCCTTTGATGCCTCTATTTCATGACTCATGTCCAGTCAGTCACCACATCCTACTGATTTGACCTTCAAAGCAGATCCAGAATCAAGGTCCTTCTGTCCAGCTTCACTGCTCCCACCTTGGTCCTGGGCTACCATCATCTCTCAACTGCACAGCTATGAATGCCTCTTACCTGGTATTTTGCTTCCACCTGACTCCTCACATGTTACTCTGGGCTAGAATGATCCTGTTCAAATGAAAGTCAAACCATGTCATTCCTTGGATGCCCTCCAATGGCACCCAGAGTGAAAGTCAGGCTTTATAATGACCTACAAGATCCTACATGATGTGACAAGTGTCCCCTCGTCTAGACCTCCTGCCATCCCCTCCTCATTTCTCACCCCTTCCCCTGTTTCCAGCCCTACTAGCTTCCCAGTTGCTCCAGTTACACACCAGTCTCCCAATTATTGTGCAGCTTACACTCCCTGGCTAGAAAATGCTTTCCTAACATAGCAATAAGCTCACACTTTTGCTATCTTCTCAATGAATCCTACCCCATGAAAAATGGAGTATTTCCTGCCATATCAGAAAACAGGAATGTCACAGTCATCAGCAATTCCAGCTCTCCAGTGTGAGCTGACAAGGCCTAAGGGCACTCAGGAAGGAGGATACCTCTGATCCAGCAACAATCAGACTGCAGCCACTCCCTATGGTGAGCCGAAGGGAGCCCAGGAAGTGAAACACACAGGATACTAGCCCTGACAGCTGAGATGCACATGAAAGGAATGAGTTCAGTGAGCTCAGACTCTTACATCTTCCCATACACAGAAAAGTGCTAAAGTCCTTAACATGGGACATCTGGTTTTCTTTAATTCACAAAAATATTTTTGACATTCATACTACCTACCCTTTGTTACAAACTTCTATATAATCTCCCCCTGCCCCGCTTCCTCTGGACCAGTTCTCTCAGGGTTGCTTTTGAGATGCTGCCTCCCAAGCTTAAGTCCTAAAAATTCCCACCAGATAAAACATAACTCTCAACTGTTCAGTTCAGTTGCTCAGTTGTGTCTAACTCTTTGAGACCCCGTGGACCACAGCACGCCAGGCCTCCCTGTCCATCACCAACTCCTGGACTTTCCCCAAACTCATGTCCATTGAGTCAGTGATGCCATCCAACCATCTCATCCTCTGTCATCCCCTTCTCCTCCCACCTGCAATCTTTCCCAGCATCAGGGTCTTTTCCAATGAGTCAGTTCTTCACATCAGGTGGCCAAAGTATTGGAGTTTCAGCTTCAACATCAGTCCTTCCAACGAACAGTTAGGTTGTGAATTTTTTTTAAGTCAACATCCAAAAGCCCTATTTATAACTGCAATCTGCTCCCACTTCTTTGGCACTTTCAATCCCCTTATCATGCTCCACTTTTTCTCATAGCACTGATTTTACTGTACAATTAAATTATTATTTTCTTATATTTATTGCTTATTGCCTATCTCTTCCCACCCCTCACCAGAATGCCAGCTCCAAGAGGGAAAGGCTATATGTCTGATTCTTGCATTTCCTTAGGACAGTGCCTGGCTCATAGAAGGGCTCAATGGATGTTTGTTAACTGAATGCCTAAATAAATCAGATGATTTTTGGATGTGCTGCTCTCAAGGCCAAATGTTCTGGGCAGGTGTCATAAAGATGGCATTTTCCTTTGTCCTGTCTTTTGCCCCCTGAAGGAAAAAATGTTGCCTGCCATATCAGTAAAAGAAGAATGACGCAGCCACCAAGCCAGCACTGCACAACCTCTCCGACACTGGGCCCTGAGAGAACTCAGGACGGAAACAGGATGTCTGCCACCCAGCCATCAGCCGTTGCGGTCACCACCACCCCCTCAACAGCGCACCTTAGGAGACTCAAGATGAGAAAACACAGGATGCAGGCCCCAGATGGCCGGGATGTGCATCAAAGGAACGATTTCAGTGAGCCCAGACTCTCGCGTTTTTCCATATATAGAAAAGCACTAAATTCCTTAACTTGAGATATCTGGTTTTCTTTCATTAACAATCTTGATTTATTAATAACTAAGGGCTTCCTTGGTGGCTCAGATGGTTAAGAACCGCCTGCAATGCAGGCAACCTAATTGTTCATCAAGTTCAAGACCTGGGTCGATCCCTGGGTCAGAAGATCTCCTGGAGAAGGGAATGGCTACCCACTCCACTATTCTTGCCTCGAGAATTCTGTGGACAGAAGCGTCTGGTGGGCTACAGTCCATGGGGTCACACATTGTTGGACATGGCTGAGGGACAAACACATCAATAATTAATACTCAGTTAATAATCTTATGATGTTCTGACTAGGTATTTGTTGCAAAAACTCCTCTATACCCTATCTTCTTCCTTATCTCATCAGAGCGGTCACTCAGAGTGATCTGAGAGTCCTGTCTCCCAGGCTTGAAGTTCTCAGAAAGTCTGCTAAATAAAACATAATTCTCAGCTTTTAAGTTCTGCAATTCTTTTCAGTCCACAGTCCTCTGCCCATCAAGCTGGTGTGTTCAATGATGGCTCCCTGCTGGATGTTAGCTGATCCATTACTGAGTAAGAGAGGCGGAAAGATGGAGTGTTTGCACCAAGAGCTTGCCTTCTGGCTCTGTCGCTTACTGATTGCCTAAACCATCATCCCAGGAGCTCAATTTCCTCATCTGAAAACTGGAGGCAATGATACAAATCTCTTCAAACTGTGGTGCTGGAAAAGACTCTTGAGAGTCCCTTGGACTGCAAGGAGGTAAAATCAGTCAATCCTAAAGGAAATCAGCCCTGAATATTCACTGGAAGCACTGATGCTGGAGCTAAAACTCCAGTACTTTGGCCACCTGATGCGAAGACCTGATTCCTTGGAAAAGACCCTGATGCTGGGAAAGATTGAAGGCAGGAGGAGAAGGGGACCACAGAGGATGAGATGGTTGGATGGCACCACCCAACTCAATGGACATGAGTCTGAGTGAACTCCGGGAGAGCGTGAAGGACAGGGAAGCCTGGCGTGCTGCAGTTCATGGGGTCACAGACACGACTTAGTGACTGAATAACAGGCAAGAAGATTAAATGAGATAATAATGTAAACGGCATTTCTGCAGGATACCTGCTGTTTAATAAGTACTCAAGAGAACACACAACAGGGACTTCAGATCTTCCCTGGCTCTAAGGGGAATTAGGTGGGGGTGGCCTGGTGGTCACCCCCACCTTCCATTGTCTCCACATCCAGGTGATTTCCCCAGGTTTCCAGTTTCTTTTCCGTGCAGTCACCTCCCCGTGACAATCTTTGCCAGCCAAGGGGGAAAAGCCAGTTTTGGTTTCAAGGGGAAAAAAAAAATTAAAAGCTGGCTCAAGGCCAACCTTGTAAGAAATGCCCTGGTGAGGGTGGCTCTCTCCTCATTCCGCCAGCCCCACGCCCACCAGCTGACCCCTGACTGCTAAGGAATTAAGGTTCCTGCCTTTTAAGGGAAGGGGGCCTTTATTATTTTTTTTTCTTATTGTTTATTTTATTTTATTTTTTCCATTTATTTTTATTAGTTGGAGGCTAATTACTTTACAACATTGCAGTGGTTTTTGTCATACATTGAAATGACTTAGCCATGGATTTACATGTATTCCCTGTCCCGGTCCCCCCTCCCACCTCCGGAAGGGGGCCTTTAAAAGGAATGGGATGGGCGAGATTATAAGCAAGGTGAAAAGAGACCACACCAAAGGTGAGAGTCTAGGCCTCCCGGGAAGGCTGGCGGCAGTGTAGGTTTGGGAGGGGCCGGAAGAGCAGCGTCAGAGCATCCCAGAGGTTCTCTGCCCGCAGGTGCCGGCCGGGTACCTGGCCAGCGCGGCGGCCGCGTTGATTGGCCCGCGCCCGTGGGGCCACATCAGGCGATGGGGTGGGGCAGGGCGGGCCGCTGAGCGTGGTGTGTCCAGCCCCTGCCCAGGTTCCTTTCCCAGGGTGTGTGATTAGGCAGCTGTGTGAGCTACCAAGGTCCCCGCTGCTGCCAAGTGGGTGACTAAGTCAGCCCTGGGTGGGAAAAAGAATGTGCATTTAGAATGATCCAAGTTTCCCAACAGGGAAGTCTGCCTCCAAAGACCCAACTCTCCCCACAGCCTCGCCCCTTAACAAGAGATGATTTACTGACCACTGTGTTGAGTACTTTCCCTGCCCTGGGGCTCACTGGATTCTCACAACAGCCCTGAGTAGGTGTTTTAATTCCCATTTTACAGATAGGGAAACTGAGGACCAGAGAGGCTCAGAACTGCACACGCACACAACCAGTCAGTCAGTAGCAAAGTCAGGGTTATAATCCATTGCCCTTTGCCTTCAAGGGGACTGATGATGATCCTGTCCTTTTTTATTTAATTTTTAAATAGTGCAGTTTTTTGCGTTTTGTTTGTTTGCTTGTTTTTTACCATACTGGGTCTCAGTTGTGCAACGTGGGATCTAGCTCCTGCACCAGAGACTGAACTTCAACCCCCTGCACTCGGAGAGCAGAGTCTTAGCCACTAGATCAGCAGAACTCCTTGCCCTTCATTTTTAAGAGAATGGTAAGTTTCTACTAATAAAGCATCTTCTCTTCCTCAGTGAAATGTAGTTGACATAGAACATCATATTAGTTTCAGGTGTATAACATGATGAGTAGATGTGTGAGTCTATTGCAAAATCATCCCCACAATAAGTCTGGTTAACATCCATCACCACCCATAGTTCAGATTTTTTTCCTTGTGATGAGAACTGTTAAGAGCTACTTTCTTAAGCATCGTCTTGTTAATCCAATTGGCTCGAGGGCTTGAAACCATTTTTCCGCATCGTAGGTGGGGACAAGACGACCACACGCCTGAGCCTCCACCTTCTGAAAACCAGACTTATCCTTTTATCCAAATTTGCTTTTCAAGAATTCCTTAGATCACTGAAATCAGCAAGTCAGAAATTCAGAAAGGGTCTTCACTGCCCACCCCTCCAGACTGCTCTGACTGCGGAGAAAGTAGGCTCTCTTAAGTGCCCTGTCAGCTACCTCACCCTTCTTTATGCCTTGGGTGGGAATGGGGGCTTTCCTTGATGGCCTGGGAGACCCTCCTAAGCCCTCTGCCCAGCCCTACTGCTGCCCCCAGCCCAGACTCCAGCCCCGCCAGGCCTGTCTAGTCCTTGTCACATCCCTCTGGGTGGGCTTTGACCTGCTGTCTTGACTGTCAAGCTCCATGGTCAGAATATCTGATCTCAGGACCTCTTGACAATCTTCAAGGTCATGGAGACATCCCAACAACTTCTGTTTCTGTGAGTCATACCTGTTAATATCTACTGTATTAGAAACTAAAAATGAGATCGTTAGCCATTATTTTTAAAAAGTATTTATTTCTTTGGCGACATTGGGCCCTAGCTTGCAGTACCTAAGACCTTTCACTGAGGTGCACGGGCTTCTCTGGTTGGGACCTCAGTAGTTTTGGTGAGTGGGCTCAGTTGCCCTAAAGCATGTGGGATCTTAGTTCCCTGACCAGGGATTGAACCCTCATCCCCTGCACTGGAAGACAGATTCTTAGCCATTGGGCCACCAGGGAAGTCCCCTAATAAACCCACAACCTGTTAATAGAAACACTTCTGTGAAAAATAACTATTTTTTCCAAAACAAAAGATAATTAGAAGAATGGCATGTTTTAAACTTTTGAAAATCTCTTTCCTGCCTGGCCAGGAGCCAGCGGGCTCCCCCATCTGCATTCAGTCTGTCACAATACTCTTGCAGCCTCTGGAAACCCCCGCTGTCCACTCCTGGGGGGGTGAAAAGGCAATGCAGCTCAGTGCAGTAGGGCAGTAGTCTGACTCTGTGAGCCCCTGGAAGCACCCCAGGGACTCCCAGAAGTCTCCAGACCACAGTCAAGGCAGCTGGCCACTTTAAGAATTCTTTGCCTTGTTTTGCTTTGTCCTGTACTAGTTTTCCATTCAGATTCATTTTCTGCCAGTTATTTCTGCTTGGTGCTAATGGCTAATAGATAAAGGCTGCCAGTGACCTAGATAGCCAATAATGGAACCAGGCAACTTCTACACGGAACCAAATGGAGCCATTAAAAATTATTTTTTCTTATTGTAATTCAGTATCTTTTCCATCACAATAAAATCAGGTGATAGTGATTACCCACAACCTTATATGTCCAAAGACAATCATTGTTAATACTTGTATAGACACCTTGACCTTAGACCTTAGACCCAGGAGGGGTCCCTGTCTGTGGCAGGCAACATAACACGCCCCACATCTCAATATATTCTCATCCTCATGCCTGAACCTGAAAATACATCACCTTATCTGGCAAAAGAAACTTTGCAGATGTGGTGAAGGTCAAGAATCTTGAAATCGGGAGAGTATCCTAGATTATCCAGTTATTGTTGTTCAGTCGCTAAGCCTGTCCAGCTCTGTGTCCCCAGGGGCTGAAACACGTCAGGCTTCTCTGTCCTTTACTGTCTCCTGGACTTTGCTCACACTCATGTCCACTGAGTCGGTGATGCCATCCAACCGTCTCGTCCTCCATCGTCCCCTTCTCCTCCTGCCCTCACTCTTACCCAGCATCAGGGCCTTTCCAATGAGTCAGCTCTTCTCATCAGGGGGCCAAAGTATTGGAGCTTCAGCTTTCGTATCAGTCCTTCCAATGAAGTACTGATAATTTCCTTTAGGACTGACCTCCTTGCAGTCTAAGGGACTCTCAAGAGTCTTCTCCAGGACCACAATTTCAAAGCACCAGTTCTTCAGTAATCAGCCTTCTTTATAGTCCAGCTCTCATGTAGAAAGGAAGTTACATTGTACCTCTCTAAAGGCAGAGCTGAGACTCTTGCCTATTGTTCTCAAGCAAAGCTATATCCATGTCTGGTTCAACCCCAGAAGATGCTGGGAAGAGGAAAATGCACATTGATGATTTCCAAGCTCTTTCTCCAAAAAAAAAAAAAAAAAATGTTTGGACAATGTTGGTTTGCTTTCTTCTAAGGTTTTAGTAGCGAACTTCACAAAAATTTCCCCACAATATCTTGAAAGAAATCAGAGAGTAATGATTGCAGTTCAGCCTAGGCCCAGTAAAATCATAAAAGGGCAGCACACCGTCACTCTATGAAAGAGTCATCTGGTCAACCCCATAGCCCTTGACCATGGACCATCAGCAAAGTGGGGATCCTGATAGCTCAGGGCTCAGGACCCCTCCACATCTCCAAGAATATCACTTTCAGCAGACAGGTAGAAGCGGTGCAGGTAAGATCAAATATTACTTAGAGATGTACTAAGGCACAGTAGACATCTCCATAAGTATCTTGACATTTTAAAGTTTTTACCATTAAAAAGATCACAGTCCTGGCTTGCCAAGTGAGGGGTGCCATCTCAACTTTTTTTTAAAATTTTATTTATTTGGTTGCACCAGGTTATGTGCACACCATAGCAAGTTGCATCTTTGTTGTAGCATCTGCAGTTGCCCTATGTGGAATTTAGTTCCTTGACCAGAGATTGAACCCAAGCCCCTTGCTTTGGGAGCTCAGAGTCTTAGCCACTGGACCACCAGGGAATTCTCTCAACTTTTGATGGAGGCTGAAATAACAGAGTGGCAGCACCTCCCTGCTCCGGGGTCTCTATTTACTCTGAGGGCCCAGATGGGCTAGATGCCAGCCCAGCACATTGTGGCCACCTGTATTGCATGACCACCCTCTGAGTGACAGTTTCCCAAGACACCCAGGGACTTGGCTTGAGCCTCGGCTGCAGCACAAGGACCTCTGCTCTTTGGTCATCACTGTGTCCCTCTGGATGCAGGCTCCCCAGAAATGACAGTGCCCCTGCCATCAGGCCGCCCGTCGCACCTCACCTGTCTTCTCGGCAACTTCAGCTCTCCTCCCCACCTCTCCCCTCTCCCTCCTCTCTACCTCTCCATCTCCCTCTCCAACACCCCCCAACTGTCCCTACTTCCCTTTCTCCCTCCTTCCTGCTCCTCCCTCTTCCCTTCCCCCTCCTTCCTTCACTGTCCTCTCTCCATCTCCCTCAAGAGGCAGAGGGGATAGATTTAAGGACTAGCAGCTAGCCCACCACGGTTGACCTGGCTTCTTGGGAATGTGCTGCTCTCTAGAACTCTTTCTTGAGCACCTGGCCATGTTAAGTACTATGCTCAGGCCTAGAGAAACACAGGTGAATAAAACACTGTCCCAACCTAGATTTACAGGACTGTTAGATCAGGAAGGGGCTCCAAGGAGCCAATAAAGGAGCACCTGCTTTGATCAAGACCCGGGTGCGCAGACGTGAAGCCAGCTTTCCTCTGTCCTAGAAAATGATAGCTAAATAAATCCTGCAGGAAGCTGTCACAACAGAGACAGAGGGCACTCGGGGATCTTCGATTCACCAGGGGAGCCAGGAGTCAGCAGAATTACAAAGAGCTTGAAGCTCTGCTTCTAAAATGAGCTAACACCCATGAGAGTGGGCTCTCTCATCCACTCCTGGTCGGAGCGTAGGTTGGGACGATTTTCAGAAGTGGAGACTTGGCACAGCCCACCAGTGTGGTTCCCAGATGGCTTAGTAGTAGAAGGATCCCCCTGATACTTCGAGAGGCACAGGTTCAATCCCTGGCTTGGGAAGATCCCCTGGAGTAGGAAATGGAACCTGTTCCAGTATTCCTGCTGGGAGCTTCCATGGACAGAGGAGCCTGGCAGGCTATGGTCCATGGGGTCACAGTCAGACATGACCGAGCAACTGAGCACACATGCACACGTGCTTGTGCACTGGTGTGCAGGCTGCAAGTGTCCTCTGACTCAGGAACCCACCAGTCAGGGATTGAGCCTAGGAACTTACCAGCGAAAGTTTGCTCAGATTCAAGCCTGATGGTGTGCCCTGCAGCCTTAGTTTGTAACAGTGAAATATACCAGCCAATGGAAAGCCGATGTTCCATCACTGTTGTTCAGTGGCTACGTCATGTTCAGATCTTTGCCACCCCAT